AGTTGACTGCCAGGTAAAGTTGGCAATAGATTGTGTGGCTCCGATCTTGCGCAAGGTGTTAAGCTCAAGGTCATTTCGGATGTGGCTAAGTTTGTTCATAAACGCCGTGTTCCAGGCGTACAGCTTGATGCTCTTGATATTGTTCAGAATCTCAGTCATCAGTCGCGTTCTCGAGTCCTTGTTCTTCATTTGGACAATCTGCAGCTTCTTCATCATGCGTGCAATAACACCATTCAGAGGGATCATCAGAATCATGACTCCGACACCGGCGAACATGCTAGGTCCAACGAGCTGGTAAAGAGATACCATGCAGAGCATAATTTGGAAAGGCGCAGACAAGAGTTGAGTGCCAAATTGTGTCAAGTCCGAAAGGCGCTGTTGGTCAACGGCCATGTGGTTGACGATATCACCAGTTGTCTTTGTCGAGCGACCTTCATTTGACAGTTTCAAGGACTTGGAATAGATCATAGCGGTCAAGGCCGACTTGACTCTCATACCGGTATCGAAGGCACGCTGGAAGTATTGATGAAGACAGCTGGTCTGACAGACAGAAACAACAAACATGGCCAGGGCGATAGCGACGCCTCTAATGACAGGCTGTGGGTCAGGATACCGATACGAGTCAACGAAGGAAATGAGAAGTCGCAAGAGTTGCGGCTGGACAAAAGCAAGGCAGTCACTTCCGGATTTGATGATCGCACCGCGGACGTAGGGTCCACCAAAAGCCTTGAACAGCGCCATCCACAGGGACGGCTTCTTGCTTTGGAGCTGTTCTTCCCATGCCTCCTTCAGGGCATCACCCGTGACCCGGGTGGTATCGCGACTGCGAAGATTCCACAGATCATCTTGGGTCAGGTAGTTCTTGTATCCATATTTCATCATCGGGGTCATCCAGCTGAAGGTAAGGACCGAGAATATGTCGGCATAGTTGTAAGGACACTCATCCTCGTCTCCCAGAGCATCGTATGCGCTCTGCTTCTTGGGGACGAAGTACTCTAGCACAGACTCAACCAGTGCCAGACCCAAACTCACGTTGATACAAATAAAGTAAGGGAGTTGGTCGACGAATGCTTCGCGCGCGACCAGAGAGCGCAGTTTAATGGCATAGGCGATGATAAAGAAGAGCCAGTAAAACAGGACAACCCCGTTGGGCTGTCTGCTCCGCCAGTGCTCGAAGTATTGTACCGAAGTAATCACTCCTAGCGACACGATGGTCAGAACCGAGGACCAGAATCGGAAGTCGGCCCAGAAGGCGTTCGGTTGCGTTTCGGCCTGGATCGCAGCTTGAAGGGCGGTAACAAAGACAAGAGCAGCAAGCACGGCCTATAGCATCACAGTCAGTCAGCGACCATTCACCCTGTACGCGATCCTGGAAGGGTATTCGTTATCGGTATGACTAACCAACTTGGTGTAGAAATGCCAGTTCTTCGATACGGGCTGCGGAATCCGCTTCCTAAGCAACAACCACAAGGCACCCAGTCCGCTCAGCGTACCCCAGACAGCCACTACCGCCACAATCACGTCAAGGAAGCATGGCGTCAAGTCGAATCTCGATGAGCTGATGGGGCCCCAGCCCTCGCTATGAGTGCAAAAGGGCTGTCGCCGGGGGGAATTGATCGCCGATCCAAGGGAATGCAAAAGATTCCCTTGGGATCCCTCTAGGACCACCTGGGATTGGCCATCCAGCATTTTTCGAAGCGACTGCGTCCCGATATGCCTTTCTGTGCACAGACAAGCAGAAAACTCCAAGACTTGAAGCGTGACGGGGGTTTGGAAAGCTAGGCTGCTTACTAAAAGCAAAAGGCGGCTCCGCTTTTTTGGGGATATCTGGGCTGCTTACGGATCCCGATGGAACCTATAAAGTCGGACTTATTACATATCGATCGATGACTTCCTCTATGGTTCTTGTAGTCTGATTAGACTTTTTCTAGCACTGAGCTTCATACCCTCTGGCTTCGAGCATAAATCATGGCCCTGGCATGTCTTTTATTTGTCACGGGATGTGGAATATGATGTAATCATCGGGGATAAGCCCCGACTAAGACCGATGCGGTTGCTTGGCACTTCTAGAATTCTATCATTTTTCTACTGTTTCTAACCTATCCATCGACTTCTTTGCCATAGTACTATGTCCTTTTATTGTCTCCTATGACTTAGCTTGTCTAGCAATCAATTATGTCTCATAAGATTCCTAAGCTTCGTTATAACTGTGTAGTAGGCAAGCCCCGAATGAGATATGTATTGTATCACCGCGAACAGAAACTACACTTACCTCTCTTGACGCTTCAAGGATACGATGAACCATTAACTTGATATCGATATGCGCCATTTTTCGACAATGTACATTCTTGTAACCAAAACTGCTTAGGTGGCTGTACCAAGCCCAGTCTAAGTGATGCCATTCTGACTCAAAACATCACAGCGACCATGATTTCACAAGGACCGACACTATAGGAAAATCAAAAGTATGTTCTATTTTCAACAAAGCCAAACCGGATTTAGTATAGCTATATGCACATTGGGTGACCTGATAGACGTGAAGACCATTCCACCAAACAATTGGTGTTACTTGACCTTGGCACTCACTAACTTCGCTCAACAAACCCTTCAATCACACTGATCATATCTCCATTCCCAATAGCACGTGCACGTTCGATTGCACTTCCATAAGCGCCTCTAACATTTGGATCTGCCCCATGTTCCAACAACCACCTCACCCGCTCGACTGCTCCTGCTATGACTGCATGCACAATAGCATACTGCGGTGTCATATGTCGTGATTCCTCTTTCTTATTCACATCCGCCCCATGCTCTACCAGTAGAGCCATCACTGGAATTCTGTTCGTATCGAAATCCAAGCTCGGTTTAACTTGAGTAGCATGTGGATTTCCACCTGGAGGACATGCTCCTGCAGCATAGTGTAATGGCAATCCATTCTCAATCCGCGCATCTGCCTTTAGAATCATACGCACAGCTTCCACATCGCCACGAGCTGCAGCTCTTTCAAGGGTGATGCATGAATCTGTGTCCGGTCCGCCGCGGCGATCACGGTAGTCTCGTTGTGTGCCAAGGTTGGGATCAGCTCCATGGTCAAGGAACCAACGAAGAAGAGGGACGTTGGTCACAATTCTAGGGAGTAAGACAGCACCATAAAAGCTTGGGGTATTTGGGGTCCAGCCATGGCGGACGAGGAGTTCGAAGAGACCAATTTGTTGGTCCGGAGGGGCGGATAGGACATTTCCCGGAGTTTCGCGAACAATTGGTGCCCCATTAGAGAGGAGATAACTCGCAACCTCAATATTACCGGAGCTGAGTGCAAGTACCAAGCCATGATGGAGGAATGCTGGTGTAAGTTGCTCTTGAGATATAGTAGATTGAACGACAGAGAGTGGACCGTGTCGGCAGGCAGATACAAAAGGACCGAAAAAGGTAGGGGGTTGACCAAAGAATGTAGGATGTCCATTAGTGAATTCAACATCGCTAGGGCTATTGATTGGAAGGTCGTCATATGTTGAGCCCATTGTTTGCGATTGTGGTTGCATTTGTTGCCGTGGAAGTATGTTGCCGTTGAGGACTCTTTGTTGCATCGCCATCATTTGCATTTGTTGTCGGCGAGCATGCATCATAATTTGCTGTTGCATCTGCTGCTGCGTTTGCTGTTGTGATGACATGTTGCCTATAGCAGTGGTAAATGCACGATTAACAAATTTTTGTATAAATTATGTCCCTGGTGTCGGTGGTTGCAGGTGTGTACCCAATCTGACAGTCATGTGACGCCCCCACGAACTCATTCTAAAAACAAAACCAACCAAGAGACCTGTTCTTGAATATGGAAAGCATGACGTTGATCATAGCTAGTGCTGATTTGGAGACTAGTGCTTACTGAGCCACCGGAAGTTATTTAGCCCCATTGAAACGGCCGCAGTCCTTGATATCAACGAAACGAATGGGGCTAATTGTGCGGATATGTTGCAGATCGCCGGGGGCTGCCCAGGTGGGATCCACAGTGTTTACGATCATACAACGGCCTAATTCCATTCTTCAGACACTAATCTTTACTGATCATACCGGTACGAATCCGAAGAGAGAGCCTTGTTCTGCCCGAATATGATTGTCACAATAAATGGCAATTGGTAACAGTCTTACAAAAGTCAGCCTCAGAGGAGCTCCAGAGGATCAACTAGACCAAAAGAAGAAGGTCGGGTCACCCAAAATTAGAGATCAGATGTTATACCCGTGGACATAGACCTAGCAATTAGTTCTCAGATTTCACAGAAGTCCCTGGTGTATCAATCCTAAACTTCAGCCTAACTCAATTGATTTAGTGCTGACAACGTTTCTCCACTTCACCCCTGTTTAGATTCTTCATTGTACATGTATCTTGTTTTACCCCTGGGGCGGAAACTTGGCAGATCATCCGCGTTTCAAGGCTACGAATGATGTTCAGTCGCATCAGCCATATAATGATTTGCTTGAACCGAGTAAGAATTAGATACTTGAAGATTCTACAAAGTAAGCAAAGGGGGCTGGCTTTGTAGTTCGATGGCGAAATGCAAACTATACTGATTGCTTCGGACCCGTACTCGAGCAAATTTGCCTCTTCTTTAGAATCTTACATGTATTGTATACCATGTCGCTGATCTACAGCCTACCGTTGGCATGCCATGGACCACTTCCTTCTATTTGCCACTAGGCCTGTACCTTCTTGTGTTTATTATCGTATTGGACTCGATGTAGATCGTAATTAATGCATTGAGAGTCTAGTGCTTACATATTTAGCCCCAAGAAAAGCACCATATGGCCCCTAGAACGGTTCATTTGGCCCCAAAGGTTTCGTGCCAGGATTCGTGGGCCCCTGAAATAGCATCCTGACTTGGAATATTACAATGTCAAACGGGCTATTCTCTCAGCTACTTAAGCACCGCGGTAGACAGGCCGTAAATTTCTCACATTCCCTTTGTTCTCTACGCGTTGCACTTGGCCTTATACAAATCTTTACAATGCGGCCTTCTGACGGCTGGTCTGTATCAGCAAGATGGGCCTTTTTGGTTCTGACTTCAATTGTACAGCTTACCTCTGGAGCTGCCATAGGAAACTCTAGCGGTAAAAGCTCTTTTGCTTCCACATTGCCTGCATCTACACCCTCTAGGTATGAAATTGGACTCTTATGAGGACTTAGATTGGGCCGCGAATGGACTGACGCGAGGATAATTTTCAGTCTTAGGACCAGCAGTGTACAAAGCAAAAGCTCCTTTAATCCCTCTTCAAGCAGTCTTCCCTCATCTGCACCTAAGCAAACAAGTTCTGCTGTCATTGTATCGAGCAGTGATGCTTCTTATGGCTTTGGATTCAGCTCATCCAACGTGATTCCGCCAAGCTCCAAGTCCCTGATTAGTACTGGAAACATTGCTCAAAGCACGGATAGCCCGGTGTCCTCGAACGTTCCATCTTCTTCTCAACCTCAAAGCACCCCATATTTTACATCAACCGCAATACCGTCTTCTAGCACCGGAAGCCCATCGTTTAGCAGCAGCAGCGGTATTCCGGGATCCTCTTTGTCGCGCACAAACCAACTATCTAGTTCTGGAGGCTCTCGAAGCTCGGTTCGAAGCAGCAGCAACACTGACGCTTCGTCCACCAGTGCTTTCTCTACAGTCAGCACAAGCACTAGCATCGGTGTCTCATCAATAACTCCGTCAAGCAGTGGTAGCAGCAAGAGCCTGTCTCCATCCTACGCCAACTCAGGCGGACCTACCATTGTATCTTCCACGATTGTCAAATCAGGTAGCACTGTGGTAGTTCCGGTCATAACTGGAGACACATACTCAACCCCAATTACTCTTCCACCTGTTACATCGACTATCCAAAGTTCTGAAGCGACATCCAGTGTATCTTCAGTGTCCTCAGATATTGCTGGCCTCATCCCAATCATCAGTTCTTGGAAGAAGAACCCAGATCCTCTTAAAACTGATACCCTTAATAAGGTGAAAAGCATTCGAAGTGAAGTAGAAGGACTGATTTCTGATCTTGGTGGCTCATCTTCCTCTTCAGGGTGTGGTTCAAAGAAGAAGAGAGGATTGTTTGGTTCCATTGGCGATATCATCATCTCATTATCATGCATTGATGAAGATCTGCAAAAGGTCACGGACGACATCAACACAAATAATGTTGATTCCATTGACGACACGCTGGATGAACTCACAGAGGATAACGAAAACCTCACTGAGAACGACAATGAAGACAACACCGAAAGCAGTTCGAACTCTGATTCATCAACCACCACCTCGTCCTCTACGTGCACAGAGTCATCCACAGCATTCAAGGTGACTGTCAAGTGTGTACCTACCTCTTTTGTTACTGGAAGTTCCACTCTTCCCACCACAACTTGCACGCCCTCGACCACTGTCACCACCGTTGGATGCTCAGTTACCGGATTGACGACCACCATCTCAACCTCTGCCTCAGCAACTGGAACCCAAATCCCATGTGCTTCTGATACATGCGGCAAGTCATGCCCGATGAACAAGGGTCCTCTCAGTGGTGCTAGCATGGGCGTTATAGCCACCACAGAGAACTGTGCATTGATCTCAACAAGTACAACCGCTACCCTGCCAACTGGCAGCTATGGTGTTGCTGGGAGCGTCGGAGTTACAGCTCCAACACAATCTAGCTCTGCATCTAAGAGGAGCCAACCCAACAGCCAAGATAATCACCTAGTGGATCGCTCATTAGTTGAACGTGCTCTTGCGGATGTTTCCCCTCCCTACGCCGACTATGTCAGGACGCTGACACCTACCTGGGTCAGTCAATTGGGTGATGCATCAGGACAGTGGTTTGACTTCCCAACATTTGGTCACTCGGCTGCTGGTGTCAATGGTATCTACGGATGCACAGCTGTGATCCTTGCATCTGAGAAAGGTGTTTATATTTCACACATTTGGGAGAACCCAGTCTTCATCCACGGCGATTACAGCCCAACCGATGACAATTACTTTGTATCAACTGCCTTCAATGCCCTACGGGATGGTACTGCGTTTGCACAAAGTGTGACTGAACTGATTGGAACTGATCAAACCCCCGGTGTTCTGAATGCCATCTACGCCCCCAAAGTGTTTGTCCTTACGCCTTATACCACGGACTTTGATCGACAAATGTTTGGCATTTCAACTACGCTGAGGTATCAAGACCGTGCAAACGACCTCGCGCAAAGACTCGCAAATGCCATCCCCGGCTCTGGTGGAGAAGGCATTGTCATGGGATACACACGCACGAGTCAACAGGCATCTACCCAGGAACCAGGCGTTGCAGGTAGAGCCATTCTCGAAGTTGACCCCTTCCAAACATGGCTCACCACACCCAGTGATCCAGCTTCTGCGGGTCTTCAAGTTGGTCGCTGGCGCCTGTGGGTAGAGGATCAGTTGATTACTTACCAAGATTTCTGGCTTCCCCATGCCGCAGCTCCTGCAGGGGCTTTCCAGAAACGAGGTGAGGGTTATGCCAACCCATGTAGAAGCTACACCAACTCTTCCAGCTCTAGCTCTAGTAGCTCTGGAATCAGTACCTCCCAAGTCTCGAGTGCGACTACTTTCCGGAGCTCAATCTCTACCTCGCAACCATTGCCTTCTGGAGACTCTCCATCATCGTCAAGGTTCCCGTCAGCCACATCTTCAATCTCGGGAAGTGTATCATCATCGGCAATAGCTTCATCATCACTTCCACGCTCATCTTCCACGCCGTCTTCAGAAGCAAGCTCGTCATCCACAGTAAACCCATCATCCACACCAAGCTTCTCATCTAAATCAATCTTTTCAACACCACCTTCATCCACAGGATCAGCTTCATTGGCAGCACCGGCCTCATCTTCAGGAATAACCTCAGCCCCGGTCACATCTACGTCAAGCCTGACCTCAGCCTCAGCCTCCCGAAGCTCGTATATGTGTATGAACCAAGGTGGTCCTAATGTCGCAACACCGCACTGCCAGTGTTCAACAACATCTGACGGACAGAGCTACTACGCGACAGCGCCTCTGATTTCCGATTACTGCACTGATTACACCACTTTCCCATCAAGCATCACGCCAGAACCAACTGCAACTCAAGCTCCTACAACAGCGACCCCTGAGCCTATCGTCATGACCGAAGATGGAAACATCATCTCCTACCCTTCGCGAACTCTTGAATACGGAGAAGTCTACGGCAAGCAATACACTTTCACAAATGGCGCCGGCTCCCCAGTTACCTTGGAAACAGCGGCCCCGACCCAGACGGACGCCAACAACAAGGGCTCAAGTCAATGCAAAAGTGTTGATGATGCTTGCCAGCGGGCCTATGAGCAGTTCGAGGATGATACTGTCTACAGCGATTTTGCATCCTATACTGCCAAGATCCAGAGTGGCATGGTTATGGTTGCCACCTTTGGCCAGGCTGGTTGTGTTGCCCAGTATAAGTGTGATGACTATGGATTTGGAATGACTGGACGACAGATCAAGGATGCGTAAGTTCAATCCTGTCTCTATATTTCGTGGAAACTTAACTGACATTTTCAACAGGGTTGAGTATATGAAGGACAATGACGGTGTTGAGAAGTGTGGAACTACCTATCTTTCTAACTCCTGCCATGTCACACTGAACTACTGCACCAGTTGCAAGTCACAACACTGATTGCTATCTAGATTGCAGCTGTAATTTTGTACCTTATATTGTGACTTAATATTTTCTGTTGAACCTACATAGATGAGAGGTTCAGTTTTGGGTTGCCAGCAGTCTATAGCATTCAATTTAGGGGATCGGTAATTACACACCCCCCCCCGCCTATTTAAGTTATATAAGTTATGTTTGTTGTAGATATAGACGTACTCTCAAACAGTGCAAACACTATGACGTAGAACAATTTTTTACATCAAGATCACGTGAATTGTAAATATAAACTGAAGAAATATATGCTCACGTAGAGGTAGAGAAGAGAATCATTCTCATCATAGAGGATTTACAAAATATAAATCCCAGCATTTAGGCACACGAGAGAAGATGACCGCAGCCCATGAGTCAAATTTCCCCAACGGGAGGCCGACTCGTTAGCTCCGCTATATCTACAAGCACAGCCCAGATACTTCCAACAGATTATTAATGCCAATAAATCCACCCGGGCTGAGCAAGGCATTTTGCAGCGCTGTGACTCAATCTCAATTGCCTCAATTGCAAACAAGAAAAAGAAATAAAAGCAAGCAAGAAACCGCATAGTGCCTGCATTCCTTAGGCGGTAAGAACCCACTTATCGGCGTCATTGGAGGGGCAGCCACGAATTCGATACACGTTCTTCGCCCAGCTCATCATGGCGGATACGACTCGAATGGAGGAGCTCCTGAAAAGGCCTCTCTATGGTAAGACTCCGAGCTTCCAAACTTTAATATGGCTTTTGCTGATCTTCCCAGTGTACGACCTCCCGCCGGAACTTCTTGCGACTCTCACGGCCAAAACCACGAACCCTGTCACCGAAGAAGAGCCCGAGACAAACTCGGAAGACGCTGAACTCGCAGCGCAGGACTCTGCGATCGCAACCTCTACCCTCTGCTCTCTCTGCAAGGTTTCCTACAACAATGTACAGGAACAGCGCAGCCATGTCCGCTCCGACCATCACCGCTACAACATCAAAGCCCAGCTGCGCGGAAATGCACCTCTTGAGGAGATCGAGTTTGCGAAAGCGATTGGGGAACTAGACGAGTCAATATCGGGATCGGAGTCTTCGGAGACTGAAGAGGAGGAGGCAGACACGGGCGCGAACACGACACTGTCAGCCCTGCTGAAAAAGCAGGCGAAGCTATCCCAGACCAATGAAGAAACAGAAACTGCTGTAACGAGCTCTCCGAAGCACCCTCTTTTCTGGCTGGCTAGTTCGGGTTTACCGTCAAACAAGTCCCTGGGCGTTTACAGGGCTATTTTCTCGAATGCTGAACAAGACGAGCCCGGTCATCTGGTTGAGACTCTACAGCGCAAGCAGCTGGAACCTATCAAGGCGCGCACGAATAATGCGAATAATGCCCCGGCTCCCGCCGCCTCTAGTCCTCACTTTTTTATGTGCATGATCGGCGGTGGCCACTTCGCTGCTATGCTGGTGTCTTTGGCACCGGAGATCCACCGAAGACAAGGAGGTGTCGAAGATAGACAGGCCCGGGTTATTGCGCACAAGACCTTCCACCGATACACGACACGACGAAAGCAGGGTGGTTCGCAATCTGCAAGTGATGCTTCTCGTGGCGCTGCCCATTCGGCGGGTTCCAGTTTGCGCCGCTACAACGAAGCTGCTCTTGAGAAAGATATTCGGAATTTGCTGTCGGATTGGCACAAGGAGATTGATAGCGCCGAGCTGTTGTTCGTCCGCGCTACAGGAAAAACGAACCGCAAGATTCTTTTCGATCAATATGATGGAAATGTCCTCAAGCAGAAAGACCCTAGACTACGAGGATTCCCCTTCAATACCCGACGCGCGACTCAAGGAGAGCTTTTGCGATGCTTCAAAGAGCTCACCCGTGTAAAGGTCAGCGAAGTCGATGAAGCCGCAGTGGCAGCAGCGGAAGCCAAACGGCGCGAGGAAGAATCAAAACCAGCCACGCCTCGCCCGCAACCACAACCACAGAAACCCAAGCTATCAAAGGAAGAAGAGGCCGCCCTGCTGCACACATCTCAAATACAGGCGTTTATCCGCCGTTCAAAGGTCCCCGCTCTCATGTCCTATATCACAAACAACTCCATACCCCCCACCTTCACCTTCACACCCGCCAACCAACCCCAAAACTTCCGCTGTCCAACACCTCTCCACCTAGCAGCAAACCTGAACGCCCCAGTGGTCGTCACAGCCCTCCTCACAAAAGCCCAAGCAGACCCAACGGCAACAAACAGCGAAGGCAGAACCCCCTTCGAGCTAACAGGAGACCGAGCCACTCGCGACGCCTTCCGCATCGCCCGCCACGATCTTGGCGAGTCAAAATGGGACTGGGATGCCGCAAAGGTGCCTTCAGCAGTATCAAAAGCCGACGCGGAAAGTCGCGCTGAGAAGGAGCGGAAAGCTGCCGATGAGGAGGAATCAAATAGGCGTAAGGCTGGTCTTGATCGGTTGAAGCGCGAGGATGCTGAGAGAGCTGCTGCTGAGCATAAGGCTTCGTTGAGGGGTGGTCGGACTCTTGGGGCTGTTGTTGAGAAGTCTGCTGCTGAAAAGCGGGACGAGGAGACTAGGGGTATGACACCTGAGATGAAGATGCGTTTGGAGAGGGAGCGGAGGGCTAGGGCTGCTGAGGAGCGGTTTAAGAGGATGCAGGGGAACTGAGGGTTCGGATATACTTGAGCTTTGGGACGTGTTGCATTCCCTTTTGTGTTCTTTATGGACTTTCCTAGATACATGTTTGCATGGTGGCGACATATCAATATCATATAGTAGCATCATTGTCATTGGCTTTCCTTGATTTCTACTCTTGTTGTACTGCAACGGGCAGCTAGATTTAGACAACACTATTTTACGGGCAATGAACAGGAGCAGGTAGCCCTACTTCCGAACATAGCAAAGAGTGAGAGTGTTTACATCTTCAAAGCACGAATTTGAAAGTATCAGAGTCAAAATCCGAACAGTTATCAAATTAGATGCTATCGAAGGGAACAAATGAGAACAAGTAAGCCATCCTCATTGATAGGGAGAAATATCACACCACCTTCAGGTTAATCTAATCGAAAGACATGTAAAAGGATCGAAGAAGAAATAACCCTTACTCAAGTATCACGCACCAGCCTATCTTTAGGAACACCTATCCCGCCATAAAACCCATAAGCTCTCCATCTCCACAGGATAGATTCCACTCGGCCTTCATCCCTAGGAGGCAAATCGAACAAGCCATAGTCTACGTTCCTTCTGTGCCTTGAGGCACGACCCACGACGCTCGACCATCACTACACTGTCCAAAGAGGACAGGAGGGGGCAAGATAAGGCAACCTGGATAAGAAGACAGAAATAGGGAGGGGTGCATTCACTCTCAATTGGGTAAGATACTACTCTGTCCAGCGAGGATAATTCAATAAGCCCACTCTTCCTTATCCCTAGGGTCTCGGGTACAGTCCATGGCCCACTTTCAGTGCCACTATAGAGGGAAGTATACACGTATCCACAGTACTAGTACATGTTCATGTAAGTACCCGTGTGTGGATTCCCAACGCGTGACAGTCTGGCTAGGGGGTGCAGGCTACATGTTGCATGGGATGTACATGCACTGTATAGGGTTATGGCAGGTCGAGGGTCGAGGGGGAAGGGGATTAAGATTGAACTCTACAGGGGAAGTGGGTGTGCTGATCTTTTTTCAGCCCATGTACATGTTTCACTTTGGGCTTAGTGGTAAGTGATGAGTGGTGTGATTCAATAGCTTTGGAGTGATTTACTACTGTATGTAGGCTTTGCGGCTGGTGAGTTAGTCCCAGTCTGGTTTGCAACATGTCGGACTCGATGGTCTTATCTTGTCTGGGAGAGACTGTCTTCATCTGGTCACTGTGATTCTGTCGAGGCCATGCAGATTCAGGTATGATTCTCTTGGGTCCGTGTTAGGCTTCTGATATCATTTTTGGATCACGGTAAGCTCTCGACTCCTAGATCCAATCATATCAAACCATGAGCAGCTGATCAGCTGCGACACTGTCCAGATGAAGGAGAGGGAAAAAGCCATATTGCAATAGTCAAGGGCCAGTGATCAGCAGAAGAGCCACAAAAAGAATTGTGAATATCCCTATTCGGCAACTAAAGCAAGACAAAGTGGCAACTATAGGGCAGTCACAGCCAAAAGCAAAAAGCAAAAAAGCAAAAAAAAAGCCTGCCAAGTACCCTATTCAGAACAATGTCTGAGGTCTTCAAGGCAAAAGTGAGACCATCAGTACTCACCACCCTATGAAGGGACCGAAGCCCTAGCGGGGCATGGTTGGAGGGGCAACCAGGGCGACCCCAGCCACAGCAGCGCACGAAGGACGATCAGGTTTGCAGAGATGATCTGCATTAGCGCCCGCTGTGGGAAAGGGATGATGTCTTGCATGGTCTTGCATTGGTCTTGCAGGGACGTGCACGAAGAAGCTCCTGGAGGACGAGGTATCCTGGAAGTTGGAAACTCTCATTTTGGCTGTTTGGGCGTTTTGAGCAGGATAGTTTGATGTTTTGCGTCTCGTGCCCTAATTTCCTGAAGGCTAACCTTGTTGTAGCCTATGGATGTCTTTCGCTGGGAATAGTCTCATCGAGGCTCTTGATACCCCTTGCAGGAGATCGGATGTCGATAAGGGGCTGGGGGCTCGTGGGACTGGGACTGGTATGCTACAGTGGCCTAGAGGAGAGCCCTCTGTTCAGTCCCCTGTGTATAGGACTTGGTCAGCTGGGCGGATACCCTTGGAACTTCCAGCCTCGGGTCAAGGAGAGTAGCCCCCTTTGTGGTTTATTGGCATAGTGTATGGGTATTTTCAAATAGAGGTGTGGTGCCATCCCCTTTGTTTGTAGAATGGCTATAGATCAGAACTTCGGGTTGTCGGCCCGTTGCAGCAAGTATGTGTAGTCCGCTGCACCCCGATGTTGCGGTAGAGTTCTGCAAGATAATGCAAGTGATGATCTGCGCACGAGTTCTCCGGTTGATCACGAAAGTAAGGGTGATTAGAGTGTATTGAAGGGTGTTAGAAAAAACCCCGATGTCAAATGCAAGTAACATTAAGCTGAGGTCCGAGGCTGCCAAGGAGCCCTCAGAACCCTGTTGATAGGGCATTTCCTTGATTTTGGCTAAGTTAAGCCCTGAAGGGAGTATACTATACTCTATGGTCTATACTGTGTAGTGTATAGTTTATAGTGTATGCTCTGTCTATAACGTTACTCTTTGTCTGTGTATCGTAACATGTAACGCGTCACGTCGCGTCGCGAACGCGGTACGCGTCGACGCGTTCCCGCGTTTCACAATGAAAAGTCGAATTGGAACCATCACCAGTAAAACAGTCAAATGTTGAAAGGCATATAGGTCAAAGAGCAGGCTGGATATCCCAGTAACCATCCTTAGAGCCCTCGAGGGCTGGTATGGCAGGGAAACAAACCCTCCTAGGCTGGTGAAGGGCAGCGGAATGGCAGGAGAGAAACCTCCTCTTTTGGGAGACTATTAAACGGACACTCGCCCAGTATCAAGTCAAATAATCAGAGATTTACATCATAAGTTACAAGTGTATTGGGATTAACGCGCCTTGGCTACTGTATGCAAGCCTATGCACGCCATTGACGCAGCCCTAAGCTTGGACATACAATACACTACACTTCATACAATTCATACGCTAAGATGTTACAATGAACATGCACAGTTCAACTGAGAGTATCCCAACGAGGCAATGCAAAGATGATCCCTGTCATGTCTCAGGGGTTCCTCGTGCCTGTTCTCCTGTAGAGCCTTGCATGCAATCCCTCTGGCCCTTTCCAAGGCTGCTCTACTGTTTCACTGGGAGTTTTAAATCATAGTATAATAGTATAGTATATCAGTATATTAGTATAATAGACTAGACCTTCATTCCGTTCCTCTCCAGTCATTCCAGTCTTCCAACAATACTCCAACAGTCATTCGTTGTCCTTTGAGCATTCGCTCTGACCTTCGTTTCTATTTTCATACAGTCTGACTCTTTACACATTTTCTTTTCTTTTCTTCAGGAATAGAAACATCTCAAACAATCTCTCTTAGGCATATAACAAAGAGTGGAGGCACGGGAGATGATCGCTTGACCGTTTGCGGTCCAATTTTCTTTTATCGCTCGGACTCCCCCCGCCAACTTTTCTCCCTGACAACACATTCACTCAAATACATCAACACCACTTTCCCACCGTCGCAACCCCCGGACCAGGTGGAAAGTGAAGCGCATTCCAACAACATCATCATCCATTCATTTTGACCACCCTAACTCCGTCGTCGCGCATCACAACCGCCTCCGGCGCAATTGCGCAGCCCACAAATCGCGACCGCGACTCGCTTCCTCTCATTTACACCTTCAACCTATTTTCCAGTCTGCCAATCTTCCAATCGCTCAGATATCACCTTTCATCCTCTACAATCATGTTGCTTCCATCCGCCCTCCCATGCGATGTGCGCCGGTCGTCTCGCTTCACCCCTACTCGCCTCTTCTCACCTCCATCGGACGGTTTCGCATCAGGCAACGGTCTCCTCGGCACCTGTCGCGCCCTACAATCTCTCCTCAACGGATCCCCATCACCTCCATCGCGCCGTTCAACAAAGGCGCAGCGCCTCCAAAGTCCCCTCCCAATTAACACACCGCGGCGCTCGCCGCGATCACACAAAGCCGCCCGTCCCGTCTCTCCTAGACCAACACCACCCCCCAGAACCGCCGCTCTCACACCCCCACCCGCGCCTTGCGCACCATCGCGCGGCGCAAACAAGCGCCGCCGCGACGCCCTCGAAGACGAAGACAGCGACGCGGAAATGAGCCGCGGGCGCAACCGTCTCACAACCCCCAAACGTATCCGCCACGCTCCCTACAACATCCCTCTCGGTCTCTCCTCAACGGATTTCTACTCCCTCCATTCTCCACCAGTCACTCAATCTCCTCCTTCTCCACCGCGCCGCCAGATGAACCCACACATCGCGGCCGGTCCCCGCATCGATCCCGATGCGCCTCTCCCTTCTATTGAGGTCACAGAGGAAACCTCCTCCTCCAGTCCAGCTGTTCAATCAAACATCTGGACCCAAGAAGAAGACCAACGCCTTCTCGAGCTGGTCCTCGAGAAACTCCGCCTCTCTCAACGAGAATGGGATGAGTGCGCGCGCCAAATGGGTCGCGACAACATTACCGATAGGTGGAACTCTCTTGTCGGGGAGGGTCGCGTCGGCTTACGCCCTCGTCGCCGTTAACCACCTCATCCTCACCATTCCATATTGCACAACGCAATTTCCGTGTTTCATTATGTATTATATGATCTGTACCCCTGTAACACCTATCTGTGATTTGAGATTGGCCAGCCTGTTTTGTTGGCTTTGATTTTTCTGCAGAAAAGCAACCCCTGTACTATTATTATTATCTCTTGTTCTGGCACAAATTGCTCTTATTATGTTCTGTTTTTCGGTCTTTTGTGAGTCCCGTTGTTTTCGGGCTATGTGAATATGCTTTTGTCTTTTTGTCCTTGATATGTTATTGTCAAGACGCCCCTACTTGGGCTTGCTCATATGTTGGTCACCACCTGCTTGCTTGGTTGCACATCTGCACATCTCTTGTTTGGGTTGCTTGTTTGGGATTTGTACTACTATCTACATCTACTATCTAAACTAGACTGTACTTTTATTCATATATTGATTCATTCAATGATTTTGGACTTTGGTGTCATCATCTAGACTTTTGATTATTACTAGGGCGATAATTGTCTATTTCCAAGGTTGTCACCAACGTCATGCCGTGACCTAGCACTGTACATGTGAATATCTATAAGCATAGCCATTAGGCCCTCTCTTCTAAGGACTGATTTCTAGTGCTAAGGAGTGCACGACAGTCGGTAACCAAATCAGATATGTGATCCGAGGGGCCTCCGTATTCTGTTCTATTTAGGTACCGTACTCTGTACTCTGCACAGAGTCGAAACGACATCCTCTTCCCTCTCCCCCAGTTGAACAGAGTGAACAGAGAAGACGCGTTTTCTCTTACTACGGGCCGAGACCACTGACAAATATCCGGCTACACTACACATAGCCCTTGTGCTTTGACCTATTTCGTATAGGTCAAATGAGTCATTGTTCAATCTCGTACGGAGTAAGTCCGTCCATTGATTCACACAATTAGATCAATAATTATAAAGAGTCAAGATATCACCTCTCTTCCTAGTATTCGTTTTTTTTTTCCCAACAGGAAATCATCCAGTAACTTGATCCGAGCCCTACTCAGCTCTACTCTCCCTCCAAAATGACCACCACTATCGATAACCACCGTGTCAAAGAAGACGTAAAAAAGGCCTACGACGATATCGCCAACAAATACCTAACCTGGACTGAACCAACCCACAAACTCCGCCTCACCTACCTAAACACCCTCCTCCAAAACCTCGAACCAGCAACCAAAGCTACCCAAGCAGCAATCCTCGAACTAGGCTGCGGCGCCGGCGTCCCATGCACCAAACACCTAGCCTCAAACCCCAACTTCAAAATAACAGCAAACGACATCTCGTCATCCCAAATCGCACTAGCAAAACAAAACCTGCCGGACTCGGTAACCTTAATACAAGGTGATATGATGGGTCTTGAATTCAAACAGGAATCTTTCGATGCTGTGCTAGCCATGTATTCAATTATCCATTTACCACGCGAGGAGCAGATTACCATTCTCACGAGGATCTTTGGGTGGTTGAAGCCTGGAGGTTGGGTTCTGGCTAATTTCTCCGAGGGGGAATTTGATAATTCTTTTGATGAGGCTTGGTTGGGGGCAAAGCAGGGGGTTATGTATTGGAGTGGATGGGGGAAGGAGAAGATGAGGGGGATTCTTGGGGATGTTGGGTTTGTTGTTAAGGTTGATGAGGTTGTTGTTGATCAGGAGGAGGTTGACGGTGTTCAGTGTGATTCTGCTTTCCAGTGGGTTTTGGCTAGGAAAGTATGATGATGGTAGAATACCAATACCTATCGGTTATTCATTTATTTGAGAGGATGAGGTATTGACGCGGAATTACTTGCATTCTTTCCTGTTCTTGGATCATTGCATTATGATCTATTGAATTGTTAATCTACTGAATTGTTATATTTCTAGCAAAAGTAGAAAGATGCCAACAGGTCAAATCATTGCTTCATCTTCGCTGCATCTTTCATCTCGCCGCGCTCCTTGATCGTACCAGCCAAGTGGTTTCCAACATCCGACCCCAGATTGCTAAACCCATCAATAATGCCCTCACGGTCTTTCTCCCCCATCTCCTGACTCATCTTAAACTTGCCTCCAATGCTTTCGATCGACACCTCAATCCCAATGATATTCTTCTTCATGATATCAATATAACGGTCCGGGGCATCAGAGACATTCCAAGGGCCCGGCTTCCCTTCCTGGTCAGTGTGTCCCATAATGGAAGTCTCACAAAGATGAGATAAGTCATGGATCTGCTGCGACAGGTACTGGGACGTCTCCTCCGACGAAGAGTCATAGTAGATAGTAGCCTTGCCATAAACCTGAGCAGCGGCATAGTTCCACGTCGGCACAACCTTCCCAGTGGCCGGTTTCGTCTCGGTGTAGAACTTGGGGGTAACATAGTGATGATGAGGGCCCGTGAACAGGATCATCACATCCTGTTGTATTTTGCGTGTGGACGAGGTTGAAGCGGCCTCGATTATGGCTTTCGCTTGTGGGTTTTGTCGGGCCATATGGCCTCGTAGACGGCCTTTCACGGATGCATCAGGGTCATCGCTGATGGTATCAAGGACCCATGGGATATGGCTGGACTGTAAGAAAGGATATGAGGGTGAAGGAATGGCCGTCGTGAGGATTCCCAGGGGGTTCTCTTTGATGAAGTCGAAAAGAACCTTGATGGATGGTTCGGCGTGGACGGCTCGGAGATACATAGTTGTGATCTTGGAGAGATTGAAAGAGATTGCAATTATCTTCCAGTGGGAACCTTTTGATGCTTATAATCGAGTAACTTACCATGAGCTTATAGTTGGTGCGGATTTGATTGGCTCAGCTGGCCGAGCCGCCACTTGGTTGGTGGAGGCAAACTGGCCGAAAGAGGAAGTTGTGTCGAGATCCGACCTAAACCCTATGATAACGGCAATCAAATTAATATGCAGTTGAATATGTACGGAATGAATAAATCCCTATAAAGTCCACCACTTTCTCGGACGGCTCATTCAGCTTTTCTGTTATCTAGGTCACAGGCGCCGTGCAACTCTAGCTTTGGTGCCAGTATCGGAGACCCACACCCCAGAGAAAGGGATCTTGTAGATATAGAAGCCAAATGTTGAATTGACGATAAGATATAACCAATTTCCTTGCGCAATTTGGCGTATGCCGCGGTATTGGTCGCATCGTCAGTCGGTCTAGCAATCCGTGTAGGCTCATCAAGCCGACAGTATCAATTTGTATTTAAACGCGGCGGAAATGCACTACATACATGTAGCCTTGCAGTCGAGACTGGACCCACGCAAGTTTACTTCTGCTTTAGGAAAAGCCCAGTCCCACTCTAAATAACTTCCTCTTTTGGTTACTCACCACCGACGACTGATGGACGACTTGGCCTAAATCTGTAAGGCAAGAACGCTTCACCTACCTTTTCAATGGGGATATTGGATTGGCAAGGTGCGGCGAGGTTTCCGTTTCAGAAGTGAGTTACGACTCAGGACCCCGGGGCTGATCGAATCGAACATACTTAATTGAACTATATCCATGATATTCCACAGTTTCATGCCATTTCAAAAGGAAAACGGCGCCCACCTATCGAAGCTCCCTACATTACGTCCACAACTTCCATTTGGGGTCAAGCCAGCCTCGTTGAGGGCAACTTATGTTAACTACCTAAATGTGCATTTCTAGTATCACTCTTTAATCGGCCTGTTTCTCTACGATCCTCAAGTATTGGCGCGCTATTCAACGTCTCGATGTTTTCGACGTAGCTCTGCAGAAAACAAAAGCCTTGACTTGTCTTTCCCTAAGTTAGTAGTAGACAGATTTCAGGAACAGCCTAGCATTTATTTACGAGACATTATGATTTACGAGACATCCATTGCCACATCCTCCCCGTCATCACAAGAGGATACTGCCAGCTAACAATGACCAAAGGCCGACCCCAGATATCAATCACGCATGGACATTGCCATGAAGATCTCGATAACAACTATGTTCGCAGCAGTCCCATTGAATTGCAGACCAAGTTAGCCAGGTTTATTGCCCAATTGCAAACAATGACTGAAGATGTGTCGACTGGCTCTTGACGAAACTTCTCGGGACGAACATTTCAGTGCTTCCGAGCCCCAATCGTCGCCAGATTGTTCCCAATATGTTCTAGAGAATCTCCATTCAAAGAAATCGATTATATAGTTTGAGTAGTAGATTGGGCTATTCTGTCATATTATGTTAGCAAGAATTTACTTCTCCTTGTCCTTTCACCAACGGTTATTGGTTACAATATTTCCATCTGCAGTCACACCAAGGAAAGGAAGCATTGGATGCAAATGAATTCCAATATGTATCAAGGTATGTATGTATGGTCCACCTAACGCCAAGCACCCTGCCTTGTGCAAATGAGCAAGAAAAATGAAAAAAGAAGAATGACACTAGACAGTGTGGTTGATATTAACACATTCGAACAGCCGACACAATCAGAAACTAGACAATCGAGTTAGTAGGAGCGCTGCCAAGTTGGTTTTGTATATCAAACGACGTACCGAATCTCATAACTCCCGGCACGAGTCATATACCGCACCCACTTAACTGAAGAATAGTTATTCTTCTCAAAGACCTTAAGATACCGCACAAGCAAACCAGAAGAAGTAAACATAAGCAGCGAAAAAGAAAGACTAAGCGGCGGCCGACTCCAAGCCTTTTGATGCGTCATAGACGTAAGCGTCGCCTCAGCATTGAGCACAAACTCACTCTGCCCAGAAAACCGCGCAATTTTCCAAACAATATTGTTCTGCTCAGGTTCATACTTCGCGCGCCCCTGACTCGTCCGCTCAGTAGTCTTAGCCGTATTAAGCGGTGTCGGGATACGAATAACAACATTCGTAGCAAACAGTTTGGAGCTGTAATTCGCCTTGATGGCCACACTATATTCAACCTTTGTCGTACCAATCTCCCGCACAATCGGGTGCACCTTAAACGGCAAATTGACATTCTCCGTCGCGCGATACCGCATCAGCTCGAACTCGCCGTCCGGCGGCACGAAGGAGATAATCCGGTCTGCGTCGAATCGGCCTAGCTTCACGCACTGGTGGAATTGGCAGTCTTCCAGTGTGACCGAGCCTGCTGCTGCGCGCGTTGCCTTTGATGTGCCAAGTCCGTTGCCACCACCGCGGCTGCTGCTGGGACCTGAGGATTCGCCGGAGTCCAGGAGGAGACGGTCGTTTAGGCCGAATTTGCATTCAGGGGTTCCGGATAGATAGGCGCGCATGACGATTTGGCCGTTGACGTCGGCGCGGAGGACCGTGCCTGTTGCGGACATTAGGAGGTTTACGTCTTCGATAACGTCAACGAAGGCTTCGTTTTTGCGGTATTTTATGTCGGAGCGACGCCAGGAGAGGGCGCCTGTTGCTTGTTGGGTGATTCTGGAGGAGTCGGTGGGGTTGTTGGCGATGGCGGATTTCACGCCTTCGGTTGTGATGTACATTTTCAGGGTGTCGGGATCGGTGTTTTGGGGGTAGCCAAAGTCGAGGATTTCTGGGAAGTGAAAGAAGCCATTGTTAGAGGTTGCTTTAGCTGGGTTATTGGGATAAAGTGGGATTGGCTTACCATCGAGCAGCTCGTAAATCAGGACAAAATTGTTCTTGACGGCCTCCTCGTCGAATTTCCCAAAATAGCTCTTGCCCAGCATTACCAGCCGGTAGAGAAACTCGAAGACCAGCGCGGCATTGGCATTGCTCTTTGTCACTGCTACCAAGTAGATATTCTCGTGCTTGACATGGCTGAATGTCGTCGAGCCCAGGGTCAGGATCGGGGAGCGGACCTGCGGGTTGGAGATGACCTGGATGCGGAAGATGTCGGCCAGGCGCGGGCGACAGTCGCTGCGGAAGGCGCGAAAGATGAGGTTCTCACCCTTCTGGTTGAATATGAGAATCCCTGAGAGCATGGTGCGTGTGTGGTGAAGTCAAGTGGATGAGAGTTGGAGCTTAGGGAATGGGGGTGGGGGGTGGATCGACACCGCCTGGAGTATAACCCTGGAAAGGAGGTTGGCCTTATTTGGACAATCTAGTAGATATTGATGTATTTTACTCAATCTCGGTGGGTTCATTTGCTTTTCTATTATCTCTAGAGCCTGATATGGTATCTATACGAGGTACTTGGCATATGAATGCAGAATGCATAGTGAGAAAAAAAGGAAAAAAATGTATATTCGACATGAACCACCCCGAATCACTGGATTCAATACAGGTTCTTTTTTTCCGACTGATAAAGTTTACAGAGTCTGACATAGGTCGGCTAGAACTCTCTGGAAGGAATATTTACGTGGGAAAATCAGAGAATTAGACTATATGAAGTTATTATTTCCGAAGTAATGGAAACCCAGGGCTGCGAAATTGCATCCCCCGAAAGGTACCAATTAATCTAAGAATTATCATATAAGTTTTCCGGAAGATGAGAAACTCCAACATGTGAGAGTCCAGTGAAGCGGCCAGATATGGACAAGGCCAGATCAAATGATATAGTAAACTGGGGCAAGGCACCCTCAAAGATGAGATAGTATGTAGACAAAAATGACAGGAAAAATCCCAAAGGTATCAGAACAAACAATTAAGAAAATATCAAGCCCAAAGATGTAGAGAAGAAGGGTAAGGATCCGGAAAAAGAAAACTGCTGGGGGTTGGATATCATGCAGAGGTCCAGGGGAAATGTAACAAATTACAAACATGTACAATCAAAGAAAGAGAATCGAATGGAGAAGACAGCGTGCGCAAACGCAATACACACTCAAACCCCACCAATACCAGTACTAGGCCTGGTATTAGGAGCAGAGGGTGCCTCACTGGGCACGATGCCAACCTTGGGATCAGGGATCTGGATATCAAGCGACATATAAGCCGTCCGACGTAGACTCCAAATATGAACACCATCCTTAGCCCCAACCTCCTGGTTCCACTTCTCCAACCAAGACTCAACATGCTGCAGTTGACTCTTAGCCCCAGGGGCATTGAGATCATCCCAAACCCAGCCGGTCAATAAGCCAACCGCACCGTCAAACAAATTCCGGAAACTGAACGGATCAAACGCCTTGATGATACCATCGTTGACAGTGGCAATCACTTTCCGGAATTCCTGCTCAGAAAGTAACGGGTCCAGGATCTCAGGATAAAGATTTGAAAACGTCGGCGCCAGATCACCCTTGATCATCCAGTCTCGTCGGATACGAATCACACGCGTTGTCGTATGCTCATGCGATCCGATCGGGACATGCGGGTTGAGATGGGGGAAGCAGGGGTGCGCCGGGCCCCATGCTAGCTCTTCGGCGACATCGGCGGGCGGCTGGCCCGTATTTGAAGGTACGGAGGCAATCTGCGATTGAGAGCGGAGGGAGGTTGTCGACTGGGCGTGGCGGGGGGAGAGATCATCGCGGCGACGAGTTCCATCCTGCGTCAAATGAACGGCCTCGGGTGGCCGCAGGTTCTCGGTCTCCCTTGCGGCGCTGCCTGCGAATGCGGCTACCATATCTGTTGGGGACAAGTGTTCGCTGCGACGATGTCGGGGTGGTAAGGCGATGCTTGTTCGGCCGCTTTCTGTCTCGCCTTGGCTGCGCTCGACGAGCAGGCTGCTTGGGGATGGTGTTAGGCGGCTGCGCCGTCGCTCGGGGACGCTAAGGAGTGGGTAGGCGTCTCTTGTATGGCCGTGTCCTAGGGGAAGGCTCTCGTCGGATTGGTATGCTGGGACGGTTATTGGGGTTATTCGTGGGACGTGATTGACTGGGTTTGCAAGGCGGACGGCTGATGGGCGGAGAATGAGCGACGGCGGGCCAGAGATTGGGACGCACTGTCGCCGCTGCGCGCGAGCGAATGATGGAGTTGCCTCCACGGGGGCGCGATTGGAGGAACGGATGGTTAAGGATTGATCAGCCTCCCTCGATTGGGATCTCCGGTGGGATGTGAATGACGCCGTTTTGAGGAGAGAAAGGAGAAAGGCGGAGATGGAGATCGGCGGGAAAAGTCTCCAACATACGGAGTATCAACGAGCGTAAAGAATGGAGAAATAGAGAGAAGATTAAAAGATTAAAAGATTAGAAGATTAGAAATTGTGAATGTTCTAGAGCTTCAAATTTGAGTCAAAGTGAGGCGGAATCCTTCATGTATAACTACCGGACAAGTCTAGCTCTTAAGGCATCCCTGCACACTCCCCGGTTTCACTGTGATGAATCCACCGGAATCCCTTGTTTCATCCTCGATCTCAATTGGGTAGTATGCAGACAAACGCTAACAGCTGCATTAGACAATGGTCTGTAGAGGTCTCATTGGATTTCAGCCTAAGTCTCGGGAGTCGGTCAAGACCTACATAGACCTAAGTCACAAATTGGAGAGCTATACCACTTCCAGGACTGCTATTGATACCCTGGCTTCTATATAAAGATCAGGCTGAAGACTACAATGTTATACACCAAGCCATTGACTTTAACGGTATGCATTGGCCACCACTTTGGGTGATACAGGTACTAGTTCATTCAATAAGTTACCTTGGCGGAAAGCAACTGCAGCTATATAACCTTAAAAGCACATAGATCGCCATACCTAAGGCGACTCCTCTAAAATGAAAATGTATTTCTCCCTTACATCTTTACTACTACATGTAACTTATACGGTAACTTACATTAGTGTTAACGATCGTTGACTTATATTAGAAGTGACATCGATATTCCACCGAGGACCGCTGGCACTCCTTATTTCTGGCTCTTCAATTTTGGCAACACGACCCAAGAGACAAGAATAATTGGCAACTACTTTCGCCAGAAATAACCGACATCACGCATTATCTTGCCTACGAATGTGGCCCACGAGCCTCATTCCTTGATTTGGGCGGAGAAAATCCTATTTCGAACGTAACTATTTTGATTGAAGACCTTGGGAGTGAAGCGCCAGTGGGAGATCTCACAGGGCAGATCCCCCGTCTTCATCAATGCTTGTGAGACTTCGAGGATGTCTGCAGCCTGCTATACGGGAGTTGTGCCCTGTCTTACCCTTGAACTAGCAGTAATAAGACTCCTGGCCCGCAAAGATCACCCCGAAGTCCAAAGTGACAGCATTTCCTTGTTTCATCACCAACACGGGACATGCAAGAGTTCTCGGACCTGCCATTCTAGTCTGTATTCGACTTCCATGATTATCCAACATGGCTGCAGAAAGAAGAGCACGTTTACAGCAGTAAACAGCAAAGAAGAAGGCGACCGATACAATCAGCGTTGACTGTGAAAACAAATATCTCAGTGAAGCCCAGCATAGTCTTAGCCTAGCCGCAGAAATCTCCCCTAAAATACACGCCCGTCACGACGTGTCTAAAGCACTAAGGGCACGAGCGGAGGAAATCGCAATCTACCTCATCAACGAGGAAGAAGCTCCTCTAGACAAGATCACGTCACAGCTATATCCGTCTGTCACTCGATTCCTATCTAGACGGCCGTGGTCGAGCGTGGACGGGATATCAACCGGCGAGTCCGGTACGGGTGACTGCATCAGAGAAAGCGGCTTCTGAATTTGATGCTAAATCCAAACACTGCTTTGGGATATCTACACCTTTGGCTCCTCGTAATGAGCTACACCAAGTTTGCCCGCGCTAATATCCTCTTTAGCCTGCTCCATATCAGCAGTGAATCGACTAGGCTCAGACTTGAACTTGAAGCCTAAATGCTCTGACTATTGAAAATGTAGTCTATCTCTCCCAACCAACTAAATAAACACTTAGCCAGCTCTCTACAATTTGCATCAAGAAGCATCCAATTTGAGTAAGATTTGACTAAGTTATAGGATTAATTACATGATTATATATGATGGTGTCAACAGACTCATGGCCTGTGACTCTATGTAAGCAATTCATAACTCATATCAGACAGCATAACAACAATATCAACGCCGAAAGCAACCAAAAATAAATGGGTATCAAATCAAGAAGAGGGGTGAAGAACCATCATCACTACAGCTTTTTATTCGCAGAAGCCTGCATGCGACGCATAGCCTGACGATGCAAATCCGTCATGCTACCACGCTGCATGCCATTGGCAACGGCGCTGTCAAGCTGGTTCGACGAGACATCCCGCATCTGCTGCACAGAGCCCCATAGACTGCTGTGCGGTCGATCGGGGCTCACGGCACCACCATTAGGCGGGGACTGGGGAGGGAGAGCAAGGGGATCACGCTTGTCGGTGATTTCCTCGCGGACTGATTGGCGCCATGCTGCCATTCTCGAAGCAGGTCTGTTTAGCTCTGCGCTTGGAGGGGATGATTGGACCGGGGATGGAGCTTCGATGCTGTGGATGCTGGCTGCGTATGGGGATTGCATGGTTTGGCGCTGGAGCATGGTGCGTCGTTTGGATAGAGGGATGTCGTCTTCGTCGCGTGGTGGGCCTTGTTCGATGTCCTCGTCCCTTTCTTCGGGGACTGAGAGAGGTGGAGAGATGGGTGAGATGGGGGAGAAGTCGTTGAAGGATTGGCGGGATTGGTTTCGGGATGCCCAAGGATCGTAGCGAAGGGATGTGGATGACATGCGGTTTCGGACCATGTCCTCACGGACGGCGAGGAGGGGAGGTGGGCCGTTCCATTTTGGTGATTGTTCTGCCTCCTTGGTTTCGGGGGCAGTGAGGGTCAGGAACGGGGTTGAGGCGCTGCGTAATCCTGCCTGTCCTTCTTGAGTGTGTGGTAGTTGGCCAGAGGATGATCGCAGCATGTTCACCGAGCCAGTCGAGGCGTTGCGCGGGAGCGGGTTTTGGATAGCTTTTCTGAGACTGTTTTTTAACTTGGATCGAGGCACCTCGGGCGAAGGCACCGATGGAATAGCAGCAGGTTGATGAGCTTCCACCTCATATGATTCAGTCCTGTTCACAGCTGGAGGTGGTTGAGCATTAAGAGGCGTCTGTAGAAGACCGTCGACATCCACAAAGGCGGCAGTTTCCTGCACTTCATTAGATCCTTCTACTTCAGGCTCAATGCCGAATTCAATGGGCTCCATCTCAGGAGTGTCGGCATCTGCCAGATGCTTGGCCCATTCGTTTGTGCGATAAGAATGGATGATTCTGGATGTTTGCTCAGGGAGCGATTTGATTGTTGAAGCATCCAGTTTCTTGATGACCTTCTGCTTCTTGACCTTCTCCATTGGTTTGGGAATGACTTGCTCTTCGGCGGTGTCGACTGTAGGCTGAGCCTCGCTCGCTTGCACAGTTTCAACCCTGGCATCCTTCTGGGATGGCCGCTCCAGTGCCGCGGTTTTTCTCTTCTGGGTTTCTGGTGCATCTGTAATGTCGCTCTGAACATCCGTCGCAGGCGTATCTGGCGATTGAAGTGGGTCAGACATGACAGACAATACAGTCCTGTCTGGAGGGCTTGCAATAGTGCTTTCAATGGGAGTTCGAGGAACGGTTTCAGCAGTAGTCGCTAGCTGAGTAGTTTTGCTTGCAACGGCTTCGTCGGTAACCACTTTACCGGCATCGTTCTGAATTGATGCACCCGTGACAACGCCGAGTCCAGCTTCCTCAGAAACCCGAGAATCAACCTTGCTGGAAACAGTCTCTTCCACAATGTTTTTCTGTGCATATTGACGCTCTGTTGCGCCTGTATCCAGGGCAAGCCCAGCTTCTTGAGCGGTGCTCTCATGGACAGCCTGCGAGCCAGCAGTTGACTTGCTCTTTATCTCAACAGTACGCTTCTCTGGCAAATTCTCGGACAGAATGGTTTCTTGCATAGGGCTCTCCTCAACACGCCCGTGGACATCCGATGTGATACTGGGACAACCCACGCTCACCTCCTGGAGATCATCCACATCATCCACCACGCCATACACAGAGGAAGAAGCGTCATTCTGAACCACCAAAGCCTCCTCAGACTGGGAACTGACCTTCATGCCAGTGCTGTTCCGCCAGGAGAGCCTGTCCAACAGCTCTTTCCCAGACAAGCGTTTTGAGCGTGGTGTCCCAACCTCCGAGCCAATGTCTGCCCCGTTTTCAGAAGAATTGTCAATGTCCTCGCCGAGGACATGGGTAACAATAGGCGTCTCGGGTCTGGCCTTGGAGTCGGCGTTCTCCTCCTCGGGCCCTTGCGGCTTTCCTTGCTCAGGCGATTCCTGAGCATCCTCCTCTCTCACTGTCTCAAGTTCCCGAGCTTCAGTGCCGTTCTTCTCGCTATCGGCTCCAGCCTCGGGACTCTGTATCTCGTTAAGCTCAATGCCGCCATCCTTGTCGTTGTTATAAGATGTGAAAGCATCTGAGCCGCGCCGCGAGTCTTCGCCAACAGCCGTTTCGGATACCGAGACGGTCTTGCCGTCGTGGCCATTGCCGTACGTCATTTCCCATTTGGCACGTTCCCGGATGTTCTTCTCTTCCAACTGTCGACCGGCTTCAGCATCCTCTTCCTCAATCTTCCGCTCATGCTCTTTACGCTCGTCTTCTTCCTTAGCTCTGCGCTCCTTAATGACCTTCCACAGCCTAATCTGCGAAATAACACCTAGGACACTGACAATAATCGTTACGGCAAGCTCAACACGGATATTGCGGGTGACCGGGTAAGTATCAGTCTTGAGCGGGAAGATATTTTGGTTCAATCCTTGACAAGTCAGCCAATCAGTCACCTTTCATCAACAATCATCTGTGGACTTACCCCAGATATACAGCCAGAATTCTTTCAATCCAGCTCTGCTAAAGCAGTCAATGCCCAAAACCAATGCCGTCGCACCAGAGAAAGACGAGCATCCTATTAGGCCGTACGGACGCGTGTAATGGCTGAACGACAGACAATAAAACCCAACCGAAAACGCGACGATCATGCCAGTTCTAGGACCATTTTCGGTCAAAAGGCCACCAGATTTCAAGGCGAGGAACCACATGCTGAGACAGAAGCCGCCCAGGAGACAGCCCAATCCTTCACAGATCTCTTTGAAAACGAGAGAGAGACCACCAAAGACGGCACCAGTGAAGAAGACGGCTACGACATAACCGCCCTGCACAGCATTACTCACGGATGGACTCATCACGTATACAATGAGGACGGTGACGCCCAGCGCAGTGAGGAACGCCGTTGAGAGGAAGATTTGGACCCATTGTTTGCGGACGCCAACGAAAGCGAGGATTACTCCCAGAACCAGAAGTATAAATCCTCCAACTCCCCATGCTGGCGTGATTACCGGCTTGATAGGGAGTCCGCCCGAGTATGTTGGCCTTGCCGAATCAGCCGCCTCTTGCTGGGAAGCGGCAGTGGCTCCATCGAGTGAGGGGACGGTCGAGGTAGCTTCAGCGGCCGAAGCAGTTGTTGATGCGGTGTTCGTCGTGGTAGCCGTACCCGTACCAGTGGCCGTGGTAGTTGCTGATGTTGATGTTGATGTCGATGCAGTTGTTGATGCATCTGTTTGTGTTGCTGTCGACGCCTCGCTGGATGTACTCTCTCCCGCTTGATCTGAATCCGTTTCCTGTCTTGCCTTTATCTCGCGTCCCAGGCCCTGAGCTGGGGCAGCTAATGTCCCTGCCACAAACAGCAGGGACAGAATCAATGTGAAGCACACAGACCACCTCATGGTTACTGTGAAATGCGATGAAACGCGAAATGCTCGGAACTCCAGAGATGAGTCGCACAGGTGTTATAGGGACAGGCACATATCCCACGCGACAGCAGAATTAGCGACGTGCGTATTAATTATTGGGATAATTGGGATGTATATGAAGAGAGTCGAAGCAGGAAAATCAATAAAAGTAGCCCCAGCCATTCCACGCGGGGCCAGGTCTAATTTGTTTGCATATTTGAGATTTTATTTTACAATAAAAGAATTAAATGGATAATCCACGCGAGTTGACTAGTTTACTCTCTACTGTACATTGGTCCCACCGATCGCGAATGTGGCCGATCTAGCAAGGATCGGCTGGCATTGGCGTCCCTCGCAGTCAAATGAGATTGCAAGCTCCAGCAAAGATCTTCCTACGAGTGGACTCGGTGGTCTTAGCTCGGCGAATATTCCTGTTCAGGGGAGCCGAGATAATATTAGCGCTATACTTACGTAGTACGGAGTACATGGACGTGCACAGTGTATTTGATATTGACTCATACCAAGATCAACGGAATGGAATTGATCTGTCATAACAGCTACGAGTTCAAATTCAGAATGCAGAATGGACTCACCGTAATTTACAATTCCAAGTCCGGTGAGCAGACATAGGAACAGGCCCTCGAGCTCGGGTGGCGCCGTAACTAGGGGTTCGCCAGTCGATCTATCCAGTCGCCCACGCCAATACTTACAACTTCCACCTTTGTCCGGCAGACCCTGTAGCTAGGCCTTACCCCTGCTAAGCCATTGTTGATGCCCTGCAGCTCGACGTGGTCGGGCCGCTAATTGACTTTGGAGAGAAGCAAGGAGCCGGTAATGCATCTGAGACAACAGCTATCTTAATCTCTCTCGCTCAATCAGCGCGCGTTCTCGCAGCATATGCTGCTCCTTTGGGATAGCGCCTGTTGATCTGCCTATCGGTTACTTCTTCCAGTTGGTGTATGCACAGTTATACATGGACAGTTGTCAACGCGGGACATTCGGCGGTGATGGTGTGAGGAGTTAAAGCTTATGGTCCTGTTTTTTTTTCTCTCGGGTCGTGGTCGAGACTGGCAGTGATGTTGGCAGTTGCATTGGCGCCTTGTCTGATTCCAATCTGGTCCCAGCTCGACTTCACATTGGTTTCTGTCTTTCCCTGTCGTTGGGTTCACAACGTTGCAGCTGTCATTTTCCGAGCCCCTGGGCGAGCTGGGGTGATGTTATATGGAGAGCTCACCCATACAGTACAAGAACCAAACCTAACCAAGGCCAACTCCAATTCCATACCCATTCCTACGCACGGAGTAATAAAACAAATCATATCAATCCTAATCTGTGTCCAATATCCAATATAACCCAAATAGTCCAACTCGTAAAGGGGCAGATCTAATGGTCACATGACCCGTCGCGAACGTCGCGTCTCAACCTCATCACAGTCCAGCACCAGCCAACACAAGCCCATCCACTCCAACACACAATGTCGTCATTCCTTAACTCCCTCCGCCCTGGCCTGCGCATGGCCAAGACGGCCACCCAGACCGCCCGTGCCTTCAGCTCCTCGCCCGCCCACGCCCTCGCCCGTCTGACCGTCACCGGCCGCCTCGGCGCCGACCCCGAGCTGCAGGCTACTGCCTCCGGTCAGGAAGTTATCAAATACGTTGTCGGCTCTTCCCACGGCCCCCGCGATAACCGTCAGACCAGCTGGTTCCGCATTACCAGCTTTGCTCCCGAGGGTCCCCACCGTGATTATCTGCTTAGCATGACCAAGGGGTAAGTGGATTTGTTTTATCTGGATGGCTTGTTAGGATTACAATTACGGGAATCGGGTTATCATTTTGTCGGTGGCTGGTTACTGTTCGCGGATTGTGTCGGTCTGCATGCATGGCTCGATTCCTGTGCTTGGAGATAGCTTGAGCTTAAGCTTGGGCGGCTGTGCATGGAACATTGTACATGGCGCATGAGGATTGCATGAACGAATCTGTTCGGTACATGAGCTTCGACATAGCAACCCGCCTGCAGACGAGCGAACAACCCTAGCAGACCTTCTTTCTGGCATTTGATTTCTACGGTGTGGACGAGGTTGGGGTTCAATTGGAGATATGGACATACTCAATCCGCGCGCACCCAGCCCTGTCACCGACATTTACCACACAGACCAGACCAGACCAACTAACACGCCTTGCTTCTGCAGAACACTCGTCCTCGTCGAGGGTGATGCCAGCCTCCGCACCTACGACGACGCCGAGGGCAAGTCCCGCACCAGCTTGAACGTTATTCAGCGTATGTCTCCATCCACCATTTATCCCCCAACATCCAAGTCTAATTTATTCTGTTGCAGGATATATTGAGGTCCTTAAGCGCCCCTTCAACGCCGACCAGGAATCTCAACAGTAGATACGTTGTAACTTTGATAATGTCTTAAATCAGGTTTCTGTTGGTCTGGTACGGGTCCTCGACTCAATAGAATACGTGGAGACGGTGTGTATCTATGTGTCACGGCGTGTCCGAATGTAGCATGTTTGTGCTAGCGATGGATGCTTATGGTCCTGGTGTTTACGCCGTTTCGAGCTGGCCGGGTTGATGGCTCTTCTTTTTGGGCTTTGTGACTATCTTGTACTTGTATATCCTGAATGTACTTCGTTGTGCCGTCTTTGGTTCTGCGTGTAGTTGTGAGACGGAATATTAGAGCTTCTTTTTGGAAGGGCCTATATGAGATACGGTGATAGCGTGGCAGGGGAGACGGTATTACTGCCGCGTGTGGTCAATTGAGATATTTGCATCAAGGCTTTCCATGTATAACACTACTTGCCCAGATGCTGATGAGTAAACCAACCCTAACTCATCGGTTTGCAGCTTTTACAAGCTAAATATATCTACAAAATCTCCACCAAGCCCTAGGTCCTACAATCATCAAGCACAAAATTCAAAGAGAAGTCATTCAAATCTCATAAATATGTTATGTTAAGTACAAAGTTAATACCAGGAAACCGCCGAACCCGATGTACAAAGGACCAGACGAAAGACAAGCAGAGACAAGCATAAGTCATTAAACCAATACTCATCTACCCATCCTTACTCAATTCAAGCCACGCACCTCAAACCTGAATCTCACTCTGTTGGCTAATAACCTGCTTTACATGAATGTAACTCTGCTGATGCGGCGGCGGCGGCGAGGAAGCAGAAGAAGGCCCAGCCGAGTAATCCCGACTACCACGCAAACTTCCAGCCCAAGCATTGGTTGAAACAGTACGCGAGTGCGACGGAACAGAGAGATCGTCCAGCAAAGTCGCATCAGATTCGTGCCTGGCAAACTGATGACGGAACAGAGAGAATGGGAACTTATCCCAGAAGGTCTTCTTGGCTGCTTCGTGGGTACTGCATGTACTATGGGCGGAAGTCAGATGGGATGGCTGGGCGGCGCCCTTTTCGAGATCATTGTAGGTACCGCGTGTTGAATTGAATACACCCCTATGCTGTTGGTGTTCACGTTGATGCTGATGCATGTGCATGCTCTTAGGTCTAGAGAAGAAAGACCTCGCCTTGGAGCTAATCGTCTCGACGAGGGTTGTAGATGTAGAGACATGGCCGTTGGTATGGGGGTGGAGAGGGGTGGCGTTTGAATCTGTCGGCGCGGTGAGACTGGGGAAACAATATCCCAACCCTAGATACCAGCAGGTGGTGCGATACATGCGGGTAGCGTCACGGCCGAAGCCGAAGAAGATGAAGATCATGAAGCCCGATGCGACTGGGGTCCAGCGGTCGAAGAAGACGACGCCGTAGGTGGCGACTTTGTTGATTGTGGACCAGTTTCCATTGTGGATTCTATTCCAGGAGTAGGGGTGCCAGGGGAAGGAGAGGTGGATGTCTGCGTAGACGACGTAGGCTTGCAGTGGGAGGATGCAGATTAACATTGAGAGGGCTAGGAAGAAGAGGCGGAGGAAGCGCGATTTACTGAGGTTGCTGCTGGATGCGCGGACGATGTTAGCGAAGTCGCTGCGGTATTTGTGGATGCGGAAGAGGACCAGGCCTGGGTTTTGGTTGTGGTTAGTTGGGATGAATTGAGGGTGCGGGAAGTATAGATCGGATGATTGGGATGCTTACAGCAGTAGTACGCTGCGGCGAGGCAGACTACCGGTGGCCAGATGAATGCCAGTACGAGGCTGACCCAGCTCTCGTCAAAGTCGTTTACACATCCTGAGATGGAGTATAGCAAGTATCGACTCTTCTGCCAGACGATGTGGGTGACCATTGCAATGACTGGGACCACCACGCAGAACAACATGTCCATGAATCGATTGCGCCAGCGTTGGCCCTTGCTTGGGACCAATGTCGCCCGATCAGTGTCCAGTACAATTGCTAGAGAACGGAAGATGCACATCAGGGATCCTGGGACGCCGACATAGCCGGCGACCATGAACTTGAGTTCGATATCGCAGAGGCCGGCACCATCCCACCAGGAGTCCACGTCGTCGTTTGGCCAAGTCAAGGCATTGATGATGTTAAAAAGGTTAAGCAGAATTGACCAGGATACCAGACTTGTTGCAGGGAAATTGCGGTTCTTTGCATGTAAAAGCAGCGGCGGGATGCCGAGTGTGATAGAGAAGAATGACAGAATTGGCAGGCCCACGGCCAATGGATGGCGCTTAGTAGGGTCCATGTCGGTCGATATAGAAGGAAAAGAGCCTTCTAGCACTTCGAATCTCATAAATAACCACGAATTCCTAGCGATTGATCAAGGAAAAGAAATGAAAGGAAAGAGGAAGATGGACGAGTTCAACCCATCCTCGAAGCCAAACTATATCTAGCTGATAGGTAATTGAGATTCTGTGTCTAATTGAGAGCCGAATAGCGAGAACCAGAATCAGGAGAGTTGATTCAGTGTGGAGATGGAGGTCAAGACATGAGGGTGACCTGAAGAATGTATGGGTTGCAAGGCAAAAGACAGATTTTCGAGACCCATTTGCGACATAAAGAAGAACATAACCATTGAAAGGCTATGCGGTTCAATAAACAAAGCATCACAGCTGAATAAAGAGAAGTGATATGTTGATGCCAATGAGATGGGGGACCAGTCCGCATTTGGGACTCAATAGAGCCGGGGCTTTATTCGCATTCCCCCCGGCGCCATCCGTGACATTCCCTGCCTCGTGAAAGGGCGGATCGGCGTGGGACAGTTCATCTGGTCCATTGATATCTGGAGTCTAGCCCTTGAACTAGAACTCAGAATCTAAAGGATGTTGAAGGTGGAAGGTTGGTAGTTTGTCCAGATTCTCGACCTCGGGTGAATACAATACCCGCCAACGTACCATTTCTGAGCCCTCCATATCACAAATACATGAAAAGGGCTAGAGTTTAGATTTTGAATCTATCTAGTGACGGAAAATATTATCACATCATCCATACTCATAGTACCATTATTTAGCTAACGCCCGTCATCGAGATGCCTATGCCAATTGTAATAGTGGGATGTCGCATTCTAGGATTGCTCGTTAGCATTTTCACGCTCATAACGCTCCGGCTTAGCTTTTATGAGAATAATTAGTATCGACAGAACCTTAGGCATCCGGCGAGCTCAGACTCACTCTCAAATAGCTGCATGGTTATTATCATCGAGGTATACGTTCGAGAGTAATTAACCTATAAGAACGACTGTAGGGTGTTTATCCAAAACGCTGCAATAAGATTGATTGGAGGTAATCACTCTAGCTATACTTAAAAGCGGTAGATCTTGATCGTTAAGGATAAGAGAGAACCATAAAGGCTTAGACAGGGCGCTTTGTCTGATGTCGCATTTAACAGCTTTTCCTAGCTAGGACAAGAGTGCCAAATGCGGAGAGACGCAGACCCTACCAAGTTATAGGGAGTTCTAGGGTCAAAAAGGCGCTATAGGCCATTGAATCAAGAGTGGATCTTAGATATAGAATCTTATCGATCGTCTACATAATTTTATAGAATATAGTATCACCCTGAGAGCTGGTTAGAGGCTGAGAAATGGCAACTAGACTGACCATATTTAGGAGCGGCAAATTTCGTGACGAAAGCAATAAGATAAGAGGTAAGCCTAAATAGAGTTTCTCTTTCGAAGCCTTACGAGATGCAAAACTCCACGAGTAATCAAATGCATATGATGAATCCGGTTGAATAGCAACCCAGTCGTGGCTAATAGTCATAAGCGAGAATCTAGCAAACACTATTTTGGGAGACTTACTCGTGTTAAAGATCATGGGCGGCAAAGATAGTTCATGTGATTTTGAAGTCTCTCGGTAGGTAGATGCTGCTTGACTCCCACGCAAACAATAAAGGACGCCGAAGGGGGAAGTATAGGACCCTGTGCCCCAGGGGCTGGAAGTACTATACAGCTTAAAGATTAAGCCCAACCTCGGAAGACGTCGGGTCTCATTACTGTGTAATAAGCCTTGTAGTGCCTGTACCTACCTGGTAAGCCTCAGCTATATACAGTAATTAGCTTCTGGGATCTTTTTTACAACCACTTTGAGGTAAATACACCATCAGGAACTAGGCCTCCAGTCGTTTGGAAAGAAAGGTTCGCTTATTCCACATGGCAGACTACACGCAAGTGAATGTAATGGATTTTGTTGAGCTTTTTTAAGACCTCTATTCTTCCATCTGTTCCGTTTACTAAGCGTGTACAGTAACTAAGCCCTACAGGAACCTCGGAACGCTTCTGAGATTGGATTTGGTTGCCTTATTGCCTTAGCATGCGCCTTTACCGGATGCGAGCCGAATTTTAATGACGCGGGGAGTGTGGAGACTGTGAATATCATCATAGAAGTTGACGTATCTATGTAACGTAGCGTTCGTGGACTTTATTTGACTTGTAAGCAGGGTTCTATCGTATTGCGTTATGAATACGTACATCATAAGCATCACATTAATTATAAAATAGGCTAACACAAAGAACCGGGCACAGCAGATCTCCGATCACCGATCTACGAACCGGTTTGGTCCTGAATCACACCTGGCCTCGGCTGGGGAAAAAAAAGCAATTCTACTCCAAGAAATGCACCTTTCACCTTCATTCCTTGTCACATCAATCCAAATGCCATGGCTGAACCCCCGTCCCCCTTGAACCGCCGCTTATCGCAAGCCGAATGGCAGCGTCGAAACTCGACATTATCAGACTCACTCTCCGAAGCCCGGAACTCCATCCGTTCATCAACCGATGGCCTCTTTCTACCGCGTGTAACCGAAGAACAGCCCCTAGAGGAATCCCATTGGCATTCAGCGCCCCTGGGACTCGCCCTGCTGCCAGCGATCGCGGGCATCTTCTTCCAAAATGGTAGCTCCTTCGTGACCGATGTGACCTTGTTGGTGTTGGCTGCGATCTTCCTCAACTGGTCTGTGAGGTTGCCTTGGTATACCACCCTTGCCCC